CTTTCCATTGGACCATTTCAGCAATGTGGAGAGGGGGGATCTGCTGCTTGGGTAACAGCCTATCCTCCATATTACCTTACCCGGGCTTCATGCTCTGGAGAGGACACTCCTCGATTCAGAGCATGTTACCATAGTCTTTCGAGACTGAAGGATGCCTATACAAGTTCAATCAGCTCTCAAGTAAGCACTTCCCTTGGTTGTCTGCAGAGGGGCAGAGGAAGTGAGTTTTTTTACATCACTCTTTCCCCCCTCTGTTGGTGCCATTCTATTTTCAACCTTCCATGCACACCTCACTTCCCTTCCCGCTACAAAGGATCTGCTCCTCCCATTCAAAAAGCAAATTGTAGTTCAATCAGCAGTCAAGTAAGCACTTCCCTTGATTGTCTGCAGAGGGGCAGAGGAAGTGATTTTTTTTTTTACATCACTCTTTTCCCCCTCTGTGGGTGCCATTCTATTTTCAACCTTCCACACACACCTCACTTCTCTTCCTTCATTTCCCCCCAGTTAATCCTGATACCCCCAGTTTCTTTCCAAGGGGTATCAGGATTAACATTGCTACTGGTCAGTACTCACAGAACTCAGAAAATATGACAGCCTAATGCAACATCTGTCTTCCTGAAGCTACAAGATAACCTGTGGTACTATTCTTTATCCAGATTTTCCTTCCAATGTAGTCTGATTGCAGTGCACGTAGTGGTGGGACATGTTCAGTTAAAGCCCTCTTGCTCTTCTAGCATAGAGGAGTAAAACCACTCATCCTCCTTCATTTCTTCTCTCAAGAAGGATCATATATAGGTGTCTTCAAAGTATCGAATATCCAACTTAAAAATTCCTCTGTTAAAAAACGCTACTGGCTCCCAACCTATGAAGGGGTGGCAGGAACTAACTGAAATATTTCTAAATATCAGCTGCTGAAAATAGATTGAGGTGATGTAGAGGTTCCTACCTTCATGCCATGCATGTAAGCCACCAAGAAGCACCTAAATAGCCAACAGCTGCTCTGAATTAGGTAGGCATCTGGTTTGCCACTGAAATCCCCTATTCAAAGGGTGTTTGTTCTTGCAGGATTTCAGT